AGTAGTCATTCCAGACTGCGCTGCACTTCCAACTTCTGAACATGATTTAAAACCATCACTGGACCAAGCTGATGGGTATATAAGCCACAACTCGTACTGCAACAGCTTGCCAACTGATAGTGTAAGTGTTGAGCTATGTCTATACTTACTTGAGTATACACTTATGCTGATGTAAATAATTTTAGGATGGAGAGAGCTGCATAGTAACAACTAGGAGCATTTTGGTTTGCTTTTCTCGGGGGAGGAACAGTGGCATATATCAGTAAGATACAAAGTAAGATGGCTTTAGATCTAATGCCTAGCTAGGTTCTAAACCTTAAACCTGTTAAGAGTAATGTGATAGTTTGTTACAGCTGAGGGAGTATAAACTCAGTCTCTGTAGTACCTCCAGTCTAAAATTAAATTGAGTGGATCAAAAACCAGAAGGATATCAACTATTGCTGTAATTAATAGAAGCTTTGTAGCAAAAAATCATATAGCCTGAAATACCCTTGAATACTGGCCCACTTAACTTTTGTTTAAAATGGTTTACCGTAACTGCTTAAGTGACAGGACCTACATACTGATGAAGTCAAAGAGGATTTTGTGTGATACCATGCTGAAGGTAGCAGATGACATCATGATTAAGGAGATGTGTAACATTAAGACATTTGGTGAAAGGTTAATCTGGTGAAGAGCATCTTTCCTGAGAGTGGGGTATTGCCTTCTATGACTCTGGAAAAAGGAACCATGAGAAAACAGCTGAAATTAAAGTAGTAGAATTTAAGTATCTGTGGTGCAATTGCTCACATGCATACATAGGCCTGTAGTGCCTTTAATTTTGTCTGGTCCCAACCACGAGGTTATTACAAGCCTGCTTGTTTCATACAAATCAAAGAAATTATTATAGGAAGAATGAAATTTCCTCAGACATGTAAAGATACATGTTCTTAATGAGGTCCTTATGTCCACTTGTATAAGTATATAACTCCATAATTTATGTGAAGTGCCACAGGGAAGGGCATTCATTTGCTCTAGTTGAGAAATGGTTGCATTTTTTCAGATGTCTTCTATCAGGCACTATTCTGTTGAGATGGACTGCACTGCCCATGGATTTATTCTTGAATGCTTCTTCTAGAGGATTAAAAAGACTTAATATTGTGCCGTTTCTGCAAAGCTGCCTTTTATATTAGAGCTGGATTTTTTTTAAGCATCATCCCTGTAGTACCTGTTATCTAGACAACCTTTTTTAAAAGAAAAAATACAGACGACAAACTCAAACAGCTGAAATATGGCTTAATTTCTGCTGTCTCTTGTATTCGGTAGTGTGCTTCCATGGGGTTTTAAGTCGTCTTCATGAGTACTTTGTTACATCCTTATCCTTGGAGAGAGATCAGTCCTGGAGGGAGATTCTAAAATAGTTTCATGGATTAATTTGTTTATTCATCTGTCTTTTGGATTGTTTTCTGACCCATCACTAAACTGGTACTTAGTGTTCTAATTTGGTATTGCTTAAACATATATGTATTTTGTTATCAGATCTGTTACTGAACTACCAAGTAGGAGTGACAACTTTGTATCAGAAAAGCCCATGAAAACAGTATTTTACTGAATTGCAAATAAATCTGAGATACCCTTGAGATTTAAAAGTTGCCTTTTTAATAAGCAGTGTCTATATGTATTTCTTTAAAAATTAGATCATAGAATCATAGAATCATTAAGGTTGGAAAAGACCTATAAGACCATCAAGTCCAACCAGATGAACTGTATTAGCTTTAATTCTAATATCTGCAGAACCTCGTTTCATTTTTAAATGAAAAGCAAAGTGTTTTCCTTTATATAGATGCAAAAGATTGTAGTCGTACACAGTATTTAGTCCTTGTGTCCTTTAACTGACAGGAGAACGAATGACAGTCGTCACAACTGGGGTGCTGCAGGTGCTGCTGAGCTACCTTCTGCGGAGCGCGTCAAGTCTCTTGCCCGTGGCTATGCAGAGCGATACTGACGCTCGAACATAGAACTGGGGGTGGTTTTGCGCTGAAAAGAAGGCCCTGCCTGCCTTCTCAGCGGTTTAAAGCCGGCTCGACAGCTGGCGTGTAAGCCCGTGTGCGTTAACACAACTCGTATTCTGTATTTTACGTCATGTGTGCGCAGTAGGTGGTAACAGGTTTTGGGCGGCGCAGGCCTTCAGCGGTGTGCGCCGGCGGGGACGGCCGCAGCGCCGTCTGCGGGGAGGAGAGGACGGCGTCCTCCCACCGCGTTGCGCCTCAACTCGCCTCGCCTCCTTCCCGTTAACTTCCCGGCGGAGGCGTGCCCCGCTTCCCGGCTCCCGGCCCCGGGCCCCGCC